TCGAGCGGAACACGGAGCAGAACGCGGGTAAGCCCGTTTGTCAGATATGAATATTCAAGTCCTTCTTCAATCATCACATGGTATTCCTGAGAAATGGCGGAGCAGACGAGTCGTTCCGCCTTGTGTCTCACCTTTTCTTCATGGTCAGTTGATGTTTTATTGGCTCGGACCATATCCTTCCAGAGGTCCATTGGTCGAAGTCCCATGCGTATGATTGCAGAAGACAGCTTGTGAGGCGGCTTGTACTCGACAGTCGTCAGAATGGTGGTCGAGGCACCGTCGACACGGTTGATGCAGAACTGGTCAGGCCGCGGTTGACTTGTACAGGGTAGCTCGTTTGCTTCAACCTCCGCGGCTTCATCTTCGTTCAGGGAATTCTTATGATTGCTGAACTGGATTCCGTCTCCAAGCTGGAACTCCTCACGAGCGGCTGGCAGTTTGCAAAGCTCGGCTATAATATCATGAACATGTTCTTCAACGCCAAATCGCTCGTAGGCCTCCAGTTGTTGCTCGCTGCTCAATGGGCTGCGAGCAAATCGACGGCCAAGCCCTTCTATCTCAGCTAGAGACGAAAATTGGCGAGCCGGCGGTTCCCGCTCCGGGCAAAGATGTTGGCACACGGACTTGTAGACTTCCGAAAGCTGTTTTGGACAGTCGGTCCAGTGTTCCAATCGAGCCGGGCAGTATTTTCCTTTGGGGAGAGGTATTTTTCCAGTTGTTGAACGAGATGGTGAATCAACTCTCAATGATCGGGAGAGAAGGACATGGCAGTGCTGAATGAGCTCGGTAAAGGTGGTCTGTCGGGTGCGTTCTTCTGCCTGTCGCCTCCCTTCTGCTTCCTTTTGCTCGCGCTCTTCTGCCTGCCTCTCGCGCTCTTCTGCCTGCCTCTCGCGCTCTTCTGCCCGCCTCCGTCCCTCTTCCGCCTGCAGATAGAGAGTTTGATAGTCCGGAATATTAGAATTGGCCATGTATTTGTAGATAAACTGATAAAAACGGGTTCCTAAGACAGTTATGACACGCTAGGTCCCGGTCGGCGGTTTGGTACTGTTGACGCACGTCAGCTGATCCCGGCTCCCGGCAATAGTATTCACCCGAAACTCACATGACCTGCCGACTTCCGCCTCTACCGTCCCTTAGTCGTGCCAGCTCCTTGTCGACATTGATAGCGTGGAAATGATATTTCAAGCGCGTACGGTTGCGGTATCGAATTCGGTCCACGGGCTGGGTATCTAGGATATGCGTGGTGAACTGCAGAATCTGCTACCGAGTTAACGCCGACCTACAGTAGGGAGATTTTTACTCACATCGAATCCCCGGTCATCACGGTGTCTTTGCTCGGGACAATCGTTTCGGTTAAACATACGGTCGAGTTCGAGGATTTGCGAGATTTCATCCCCCACCCAGCGGGAATGGTCTATTCGGGTAAGCACACGACGCCGCAAAGCATCCGAAAAGGGAGGGGGGACTCACTGAAATTCTTCAGTCTAATTTGCCACAGGACTTCTAGCCGTCGCACCGTATTCTTCCGGGTTCGGCTTTCTTGAACGAGATGTCGTATGAACGGCAACGCGCGGAAGAGTCCAATATCTTCGAGTACAAAGACAACGGTCCCGTATTGGCCAAGACTAGGTGGATGCCCATACGGACCCAGCACGCAGACCGGGAATTGAATCGTCGACGACGTCGCATGATCTGCAGCTTGTGCGATCCTTCCAGTCACGCCCGGTTGGGGTCGGGTCACTATGCGTAACATGCGAGTGGTGGGTGCTCCTGGCGTATTGTGCACTGTGTCCACGGACGCCACGTAGAATGCTGGAAGCTGCAAGGATGACCTCACGCCTAAGCGTGGCATCCAGAGCTGTACATACTGCCCCGGTTGAGCCACCCACTCCATGGGCACCGCAATGTCAAGCCATAAGAGCCGGTTGAAAGGCCGCGCGAGCGCCCGTCGAGAGGTGATACGCCACGACCTGTGGAACCACATGGTATGCAGACATGTCCCAGCACTCCAGCCCAATCCGGTGCAAATACCGCCCAGTAGAACCCAGCGGTAGGCCGATGCGCGATCGATCAAATGGTAGGCAAGGGCGCCGGTGGCGATGGAAGCAAGCACATGGTGGACCTTGAGGCCGAGTTGCGGCCAACGTCGAAGAATCGCAGGAAGCGTCCAAGGCAGGATCGACAGTAGACTACAACCAGCCTGTTCAACATTAGCCACTTTTCTTGCTAGGATATTGCTGAAAATTTGGGGATGCCGCCGTTCTCCGGCCCGTTTCACGCACCACGAGCGGAATGACGAGGGGAGCTGCAAGTCTTGTATCCCGAGCGACTGTGCCTAAGACGGACCCATGAAGCAGGCAGTGCAATGCGCAAATGCGGCCTAGCCACCGATGGGCCCATTGCACCGTGCCCCGTTCCACGAGGTAAACATGGGCCGGGAGACTGAAGCTGAATCCGGAGTACAGGGGAACAAGATGTGTGACGGCCAAGCATCCAGCTCGCTTCTGCACTTCCGCCCATGATCGAACGTGAACGCTGACTGCAATGATGTTGGCAACTACCAGGGCCGCAACTATCCCCCCTTGCAAGTATGATGGGATATCCAGCCACTGGAGCGGGCCTGGTGTTGGCGCTTGGAAAAAACGTCTCCAGGATATCGCGTGCTGCAACCGCAACAGCAAGGGGATGTATCGGCGTCCGAGGCTATAAGATAGCCAACAAACGAGAGCGAGGAGCCCCCAGAAGCTGAAAATATCTTGGACGGAAGCTCTCGCAAGCCATTCGGCAAACTTTGAGGCGAGGCGGGGCATGCTTTTACGAGAGGCAGCACTGGACGTTAGCAGGTTTATATAGTGTTTTCTCAGTGGTTGTTCAAACAACGCTGACCTAGTGCTTTCATTTGGACAGTCAAACGCAGCCTGGGGGATCATGCGGCAATAATCGACACTGGTGAGAAACGATCCGAAGGCTCATATTATGGCTTCTTAGGATCAGGCGACAGATCAACAGTAGTGATTCACCATATGTCTATGGCAAAAGGTGCGTTTCGCAAAATTCATGTTCAACGTTGAACCACAATTCTGCGGCTCCCATGTGCCTACAATATAATGCGGTTACCAATTATCCGTGATTCCAGTTTGGATGAAAGTGGTTGTTTCGAGCGGACAGAAGGTGTAGATGCTGGGCACTAGCCTACCCTTTGCTACGGCGCGAAATCAGACGCATGCAGTTAAGAAGAGGAAGGCTTCTAAGATTGGAGGTTGGAGACAAGATACCGAAAACCTATCGGTTGGGATACTTATCATTCCCCGCGAATGTCCACAGGGCCAAATATAGTTGGGAGAAAAAGTAGGATTACGAGGCCATTTGGTAAAGAACGGTGACATTGCGTCGCACGTGTCAACATAGGGACAGCTACCTAGCTGGAAAATGGAGATATGCACAGCTCCATTTTCAAGTAAAAACCTAATAAAAACTTAATTCCTACTCTAGTTTTATATAAATCTTTTAAAATATTTTATCTAAAAGCTTATCTTTAAACTAACTCTAATAGTTATAAATAAAGAACTTTAAAACTAGATTATCTTATATACTTTTTCTATAATATAATAATATATATTAATTAATGTAACGGGGTTCTCCTCCATACTTCCCCGTGACAATGGATGCCTGATATCTCAGGCAATGAGAATTCATGCCTCAAGGGTTCGGAGCATGGATCGGGAAGACTACCGAAAAGGGTCCAAACGTCATACAAATCGATGACGAGTCGACGCAGACCCCCTACAGCTTACAGGACCTAATGGCTCCCTCAATGGATTGGGTATTTAAAAAGAGAGAGAGACGAGGCTCCTCTCTGATTCTGATCAAGAATCAGTCTTGTATTCGATAGAGACAATACTATTGAATCCCCTCCTACTTACTATTGATTCGTAACCGTATCGACGTCTATTCTTATCCTTCCTTTTACCGGGTTGACAGGCATTACACCTGACAACGTATAACCCTTACAATTAATCTTATTATATCATTATAGAAGTTAAATCTTAATAAATAATTTAATCTTGAAAAAAATCAAGAAAATATAGATTTAAATATAAAAACTATATAAACTATGATTAATAAAAGATATTATTATAGATAGCTATAGTCAAATATATATCTTTAAGATATTAATAGATAAATTTATATATTTTTAGAAATTCAATTATTTATCATCTAAAATATAAATAATAATTAATATATATATAGCTAAAGAAGTATATCTTTATATTATAATTCTTTTTTACATAAAAAATATCATATTGGGAGATATCTATAGATTAAAAGATTTAGATTCTTGATATAGATTAGAACATAAAAAAGAAACTATAATATATTTGGATCACTAAGTAGATATATACACAATTTTATACTAAAACTAGGTCCAACTAGGTTATTGTTAGGTTTTCTAGGGCCCCAGTAATGGGTCTGGGCTGGGTCTGGGTTATAAGGCTTCAACCCAGACCCATTACTGGGTTGGGTTTTGGGTCGAGACCTCCGACCCAAAATGGGTTTTGTGGAAGTCTAATTAGCCATTAAGGCTCACGCGATAACAAGCTCAGCTGAGCTCGGTTAAAGAGTAGGCGATAGATCAATTATATATACTAAGAGCATAACAAATAGTCATCTATTATATAGCGTGCAAATCACCGGGGATACGCGCTGCATTTTGACATCAGGCTTATCAAGATTCAAGCTGTCGCTAATGTTTTAGCAAAGCAAGTGTATCAATATTTTTGAAGGAAGACCGCCAGAATGACGAGTGTCTGAATCTCCGTGATTGGAACCTTGGAACGAAATGAGCAAAAGTATTAAAGATTTTCGAGTTTCTTAGTTACTTTATCAGACCACGCTGCCCATTCCAGGACATTTATCCAAGGCTCAGGCTAAGGCAAAAGACCTAATATAATACATTGTCTCATGGGACCTTAGGGAGCGCACAGCTAGGACTTCGTTTCTCACCAACGTCCTCGTCCTCGTCCTCGTTCCGCTGATCCCTCGAGGCGTTTCACATATTCATTCCCATCTTCATCCTGAATCGTCCCATAGCCGCCATCGAAAACTGGAATCCATCCATCGGGGTAATCCGGGCACAGCATACACATGGGGTTCAGATTTAGATCCAAATAGAGACTCCATAAGCCAATGAGTTGCACCCTCATAAATCCGCGGTAAGAAGCGGAGTCGTACTTCTCTTCGGGGTTATACCACCCATCAATTACCCCAAGAAACCCATGTTTTTCATCCTCGACAATTGATTTTAGTGATTTCTCATCAATCAAAAGACAAGAGGCAAGACGAGGAATATCGGGGCATCCCGTTTGGTTGAGCTTACGCAGATATTCGACGAAATGACTGCGGATTTGTGGAATGCTGGCAGTATTCCAACGATGAGGGTCAGAAATGATCACGTCTTTGTGTGATTTGACCATCAATTGTTCAACGCGGGATTCATTGCCCCTGGCTTCAGACATGACCCCCTTTTTCAGCCTTTCAGCGATTCTTTCTAGCACAATTGGCCACAGCTCTTCAGATTCAGGCGTATAGACTGTTCGATAGATAATGAAGCCCCAAGGAAGATTGCATGGGAACAATTGGGTTAAGACCTGATGGGAAGGACGACGAGCCGCATTCTTGAACCATGGCTCTTGCTTATATTTCGAAAAGGCCTCTTCAGTGAGTTCAGGGTGATACCAGCGTTGTGACCAAGCTGGGTGATGATAGAACTTCTCATGATCTAGTTCCTCAACCTGATCGTTGGGGTCGGGGTTGTTGCCCGAGGCAGCGTCTGATGTGGATGAAGTCGTTTGTGGAAAGTGATACACCACGAAATATCCAAAAAGAAGGAGTAGAAAAAGGTAGTAAATTAAGGAAATGGTGAGTGACATTTTGCCTCCACGCAAAGCTAGGTGAAAGAGATCAAGTGGGAAGGGCGAATCTTTAAAGTGAGGAGTTTTCTTCCAGTGAGAGTTGGCAGGTTGTTGAGGCCGAAACCTGAGGATCCACGTTGTTTGCATTGGTTGTTTTACTGTTTGTTTGTCACGTGATTACAACCTACATAAATTGCCAGATGTCGCGACCTGTGGACCCTGTTTGGCCTGTTTGCACTATTCATGTAAATTACATAGCACATGACTAGCACGTGATTACGTGCCAGTACAAAACTGTAGCAGAGCTAAGAAATAAAAGACAGAGTTTTCATATATTTTTGAATAGGGGTATACTCGCCCCTGATTGGTCGACGTCATAATCGTGATACCAGATACTAAGGGTAATAAAAACCAGAGTTCGCAACAATCCATGATTGGCTGGCACCTTCTGTAGTTGACACAGGCCTGGTGCCTGAGGCTCCAACGCCCTAGGCTCCAACCCCCACCTTCTCTCTCTCTCTCTCCCCCCTTTCTTCTCTTCAGCTTTTGTCTTTTATTTAATTAGGCCGCTTGGTACGCTTTGCCTCCCTGAAAGGAAGCGCGGATGGGCTCTGACGCTACGGTCTAAGGCCGCAGCGACAGGTGACCCGTCACGGCCAAACTATATACACGTTCCTGATCTCTCTTGACTTGGGGTCACCAATAAAATGGGAATTTTAGCGTGGATTTCTTTGGCACTGGCACTCGCTTATACCCTTTCAAAACGCCATGTACTCGGTAGGCGAAGACTTTTGCTGTGTCACTGTATTTATCTATAGGTATCATAGGGAAAACCAAAAATACTCAGCCATCCACCGATGATTTCCAAAGGACGACGACGTTCAGATCTCATTTGGTCACTATGTTCTGTAGATATTCCAAAATCCAAGTTTTACAGCTCCTCTAGGTATGGGACACAATTGCCGAAGTAGGCTGAGAGCTGCTTACCGGGGTAGTCGCACTATTCGACAATGCCTGGTTAGGGCTGACACAATAAGCATCCCCAACGACCAAACCATTGGAGCAATCCAATTTCGTGAGAGACGGGTTCGCCTCTACGAACATAGCTGATGTGAGGGAATTCCGGACACAAATCTGTGCACAGGATTCTCCCTTTGCAGCAACGTGCCATTTGCCACATTTCAATGTTGTACCTTGGGCGACAGTAGCATTCGACGGGGGCGCAATGCGTGAGTCTGAATAGCCTGTGCTCTCTCCAGGGGCTAGAGTAACTCCGGGAACTGGGGCGGTAGCAGTATATGCTCCTCCTTGAACGCCAAGGCAGATAACGTGGCCCCAGATGTCAGTGGACGTTTGAAGGTTGGAACAATCCCATTCGACCCATGAGTTGTATTTTCTCACGTCACCACGCTGGCGAAGGCCCGATGATTCGATGGATGTACAGGTGTCGTTGCTCTTGAGGATGTATGTGGATGCACAGCTGCTTGGTACGCAAATATCCATGTCTGCAGCCAAGTCGTTGCAGACCATGAGCTGGCGATTGTTTGCCATAACCAGGGATGAAGATGAAACATTGTATCGCAAAGCGATAGAGTCACATGTGTCACCGGAGACTGTCTGATGCATTTGATTCGAGATGCAGATGGGGTCAGGTAGGAACTCAGGGGGTGCATCCAATGATGGGGGTTTGGCCGTCGGAACAGACAGTCCACATTTAGCATTGACGGTTTCCAACTGATCCTGGAACCCTTCATCGTAGAAGGAGTATGATGACCGCTGCATGATTCCCAGTCTCTCGACAAAGCAGAATGAGCAGATTTCCGATTCCGGCATGTCATCTAGGAAGTCGACGGCTGGATATTTGGATATCAAATCTGCCATCATTAGCACTAGCGACTTAAAAAATGAGCACGAGATACCCTCACCATTACAGTATTCTCCCGTTGTGGTATCTTTGAGACAGGTTTCGTTCCAGCCAGACCAGATCTGTCCACCATATTTGGTGGCAGCGGAATCAGAAACATTGTATCCCTTGCAGTCAGAAGCAACATTATCAAACCAGCTCTTCAATGAGACGCCGCAAATTTCATCACAGACTGATTCTGTGAGAGTGTCATTGCCCAATGATCCCCGATAACTCTCAGCCAAAAACAGCCGCGCGTACGAATCACATCCGACTAATTGGGTGAGTGAGGTTTTGCAGGAATCAGGCAGGCCAGTCATCAAATCCGCGTCAGTATTAGCGTCCCAGACATAAAAGCCTGGGAGGTCTCGACCACCAATCACCACCTTCGAGCCTCGGATCCAAGCAAGTAAAGAGGATAAAAATCCATTCTTGTTGTCCTTAGCATAAGTTGGGGTTTCACCCGTCGGGCTCACCATCTCGGAAATTGCCTTGGTGACCAAATTGTAGATCCATGTATCATAGCTCTCCTCGATTTGGAACCCACGGTCTTGGCAAAGGTCTTCATCGACACATTTCTGCGAATAGTCCGAGAACCAACTGTAGAATCCTGTTGAATCGTTAGCCTGAAGTAATGGCCAAGTGTTCTCGCCATCAACTTACCTGCGCCAAGGAGATAAACGGTTGAAGAGTCCAAGATACGCATACTCCATGAGAAACCACAAGTCTTGGAGGATGAGGTGCAGTTTGTGAAATCAGGGTCTCCGGGGAATAGACCAGGCGTAAATGGCAAGGGTGCAGCAGGCAATGGCTGGAAGTAGGGAGACTCGGTTTGTATCATTCCCATGACAATATTTTCAGCTTGATATAGCTCATACTGGTAAAAGACTTGGTGCTCCGAGGCGGTTCCATAAAGCCATGTTGGCCCCTGGCTTTCAATAAGAATGCCACGAGCTGCGTAAATATCCAGTTGATCTTGAGACGCAATATCAAGATCATGGTCGGCAGTCCAGACCCAGACATTCTCCAGATATGCCGAGGAGCTGTGAGTCAATCTAAGCATCAGCGACGCTGCAATGCAGTCTTTATTAACCGAGCCACTGTTCTTTGGGCAATCTGAGGCTTGTAGATTGGAGCCTTTAGCCCCCCAACTCGGAAATGAGAATCTGTCGTAAGGAAGTAGACGTCAGTAGGAATATCAAGTAACAGATTCGCCAATAGATCTAGGAGACTTTACCCCATAGTCCAGCGGAGCCTTGTGTCGACTCGCGTATGTTCCACTCCACTAGTACAGCACCTGCCGTGGGCCCGGATACGGTGAAAAGGAGATCTTGAATCTCGACAATGCCTTCGTCACCCTTTTTCCAACTTTCACGGCGACACGTGGATTTTTCACATCTTCAAATTTATCGCCTGTGGCCATGATTTGAGACCATGCTTGACCCAGGATGCGAGAGTTTTTGGGGACGTTGAGCGTGTCTTTGATAACATAAACACCATGCGGTAAGTATACAATAGACGACATGTTAGCAGCTCTGGCTAGGATGGAGTTTAGCACGTTCGTATCGTCGTGAATGCCATCGCCCTTAGCACCGAGCTCCTTGACGTCCAGCACCTGAGAATTCCCCAAATCGTCATATTTCGGACGACGACGGGTGAAGAAATTAGGCTTGGTATTGTAAAGTGTGCTACCAACGAGCGAAGAGGACCTGTTCATAGCGAGCAAATTCGCGCCAGAAACAAAACGTGCACCGTCTGGGTCATTGACCATTCCGAAGCCCCATGAATCAAGAATGGTCTGGTCGCCTCCAGGGATCAAAGCCTTGTTCACGTTGTTATCCAAAATAGCGGTCTGCGTGTTATAGAACCCAACGTTTTGCAAAAGCAAAGCAGTTGAGTTCTCATTGTAGAGTGTGGTGACGATACCAGTAGCGGTGTTGGCAATCAGAGAGTCAACTAAAACAAAAGAGCCAACGCCCTGCCCTGTACTGTAAGGACCACCTGCCTATAGGACCTTGTTAGAATTGCTTTGCTTTTTCATCAAAGTCAGCTCATCTTGACACTTACTCCTCCGACAATCAAAATACCGGTAGTACAGCTTTCAACAACAACATCCTGCATTGTCCAGGCCCAGTCCCACTGGATTTGAACTGCGGTGTTGCAATTCACAAACACCAAGTGACTGGTTGTGAATTGCTGGTTGCCAAGGTAAGCACTATTGAAATGCATGTATCAGTATGAAAGGCGAACTCAAGGCATTTTAGTTATTCTTACCCAAAGTTGCCACCGACAAAGGTCAAGTCAGCCATGAACCCGCCACTTCCGTTCTCCATATAAATACCCTGCTGAGTGGTTTGCGCATCTTGGGTCATGTAGAAGTAGATATTTTCAAGAGACGTTCCCTGAGCGACTTGCCAATGAATAGCGCAGACATAGGCTGATTGGTCCGTCCGGGTGATATCAATCTTGAAGTTGCGAACGCTGCGGAGGAAATTGTTCGTATTAATGTACCATTCTTCTTGATCACCGACGTAAACATCAGAGGTAATGACACCAAGACCAACAAAGCTTGATGCACCGAGAATCGTGGGTAGGTCGATGGGCTGACAGAGAGGTTAGTCCACATGCAGATAATCAACGGAGGGATTTCTTAAGTTCCAACCTAGGAACGAGAATCACCTGCCCAGGTGGGGAGTCATACATCACCGAGGATCTGTGTGTTAAAATACTGAATGATGGGGCTGCTGACGAGGTAGTCACCAGGCGGGAAGTAGACCACGGCAGGGTATATCGTGCTTGAACCGCAGCTGGCACCACAACGGCCCCCATCTGAGATAGCAAGGTTGATAGCCGCTAGAAATAATGAATTAACCTCCTGTCTGAACTTCCTGGGCTCCAGCAAAGGGACCCAAGAAAGGAAAAGGCCGGGGAAAAAAGGACAAGGTTTGGACTAACCAGTGTCGTCGGTAACGCCGTCTCCTAAACTTTTCAATTAGAAATCAGAACAAGTTAAAGAATGCGGTTTTCTTTACCCTTAGCTCCATAATCTTTGACATTTCTCCAAACCTTCGATAACGTTAGTTTGGTATGTTGATGGGTTATAAGATAAACAGCAATCATACTTTGTAACCAGATGGTGCGTACGGATTGGCACCACGTTGGACCATTGTAGCCATCCACCAACTTAAGCTTGCTCGCTTTCCGAGTCCTTCCTCAGGAATAGAATTTCCAGAAGGTACTGATTGGTTATTTTGCATGACAATATCAGATAAACCATCGTAGGTTCTATAGCTCTGCAGAGGAATGGAGGTGTCGCTTATCCCGCTACCATACTTTTCGCGCATCAAGGCCGCCACAGCACTATGGTTTCCTGTCGATGGAGATGGGGGTGTTGACTCGGCAAGGATTCGAGCAGCCTCTCTGAGTTCCGGGGGAATTGAGTATCCATAATTCTCTTTTGTGTCGGATGATCTGCGGATGGTCTGGTTGTTGGAATTCGTCGAAGTTTCTGCAGCCTTCGGGCTGTAGTCCAGGGGACGAGAATTGGGATCAGAGCTCTTGTCAGAGAAAGCTCCTAACTTGTAGTTGTTGTGCTGGACATTCTCAAGGCGAAGCTTGTTTCTCTGTTTCAAGACTTTGAGAGCCCGTGCAACGGCATCAGCTGCGTCAGAGGTTTCCCCAGCTGCATATGGACCACTTGAAGTCACTGCATGAACTGATCCAGACACATGAGAAGCACTATCGGGCATGTGAAGGTCATGGGATCTCGCATGGTGGTGGTGGTGGCCATGATGATTATGAGAAGCTTGAACAAGAAGGCTAATTTGACCAACTAGCCAGAGCCCTTTCCCAAGATGCATTGTGTCAATACTCTTGACAAAACTTGCAACGGTAATCAAGAGGAAGAACTTTGACTTTAGACAAAATGACGAGACTTCTCGGTTTCTGACCGTCCTTCCGATCTGGGCCGTGGTCATTTCCCTAGTCAACGCCAATTTAGCCCATTCTAGCAAGCGATCTAGCCATAGCCAAAGAACTCGGTTAGGTTAGCTCGGCTTATGGAGCTTGTAGATTTATGTGGATGGCATTATTTCAATTAGGTTAGAATCAATTATAGCGCCGCGAACTTTTCAATTTCAAGGGGTTTCTTCGTGTTCGTAGCGAGTTCCAACCAATCCTCCTATCGGGGCCGACAACAATAAGGTATAGTGGCATAGTTAGCCTCAATCAAATCTGAGATAATGGAAGTGAAAGAACTAGCCCCATCACAAGGGGTCTCAAATTCAAGTGCTAAAGTACGGCTGGGTGGATCTCAGGCGGGTCATTTAATATGGAGAAACGGAATGAGCCATCCGCTTTCCGACTTTTTTTTTGTTTTTGGTAGGCAATTTCATTTGAAAGGGCATTCAATGATTTGCATTCGACGGACTTGATCAATTGAATGTGTTTAGCACTACTCTGGACAGAGTAGTGAAATTGAGATTTCAGCTGAGGGTTACCTGCATCCAATGCGACGAACTTTGCTTTTTTGAGAGGGTGAAGTGGATTTCGGACTATTTGATTATTACTTGAAAACCAAACGTCCAAACAGATTAAACCTTAGGACCGTTGGTTCTCACCCATAATGAAAAACTTAGCAACGCCTGGTATCACAATGTGGCGCTAGCATTCACGCTAAAAATTGGGCTCGGAACCATCGGCTGTCACGTAGCCCTATCGAACGTTGTATCTCATCGGGTCAGCCCCTGCCAAGTCCCGCTAAGATTCGCCAATGCCAACTAGGGTCCGCTAAGGCTTGCGAAGGCCAGCGGAGTGGCAAATCGCTGGAGTTTCATGGGGCCGTCGTAAATGCGAACTCTATTCTCTGGATCTCCGAAAAACATCGTTTATCCATGGTTGAGAAATGAGAATAATAATGTACAATAGCAGGAAAGGAAAACAACTGACGAAGGACCATCACAGATACCTTGGAAACATACAAAGAGAAATAAGAGCTTCAAATACTTGTATTCCTATTCCCTATGCGCATAGCTAGGTAGGAAATGGGAAATGTGCAGGCAGCCCCCGAGTAGGCATGCATGTAATCAATTTGCTGTTTTAATAGCATTGCTCTGTCTTGGGTTCACAACCAAAAGCTCCGCGCCACAAATTTTCCCAGCGTCGCATACTAGTACCACGCTAGCACCCTTTCCCAACGTGTTCAACCTAAATACGCAGGAAGGTCCGAAGGTAGAAGATGAAAAATAGCTGAAGCGGATCCTAGGGATATGGGTCATTGGTTGTACAACAGATATCGCGGATTTAAAACATGGTCGAATTTCCGAACTATGGAACTATGGTATGGAAGTCATGCGGAGGAGTAAGGAACTTAGTGGATATCGCTCAGAAACTAACATCTAGAGCTTTTCCACTGGGAAAATTTGCGAAGCGAGATGGGCTAATCTATGCCTCGGGGCTTTTCCGAGAGGATTTTACAAGCACTAGCTTCATGAATCAGTTTGTTCTCGTCGATAATCTGTTCTTATTGCACTGTTCGTCCATTATCGAGCCTGGAAGTACGAGGAAACTCCAGACTTTCTACAATGGGCTCCAACAAAAGAGCCACACTGCTGGGCGCTTTGTTTCTCTCTCTTCTATTGCTCGTCAATTTCGCTTCAGCTCAAGATTGTAGCAAGGATAATCCTTGTGCCACGGGCTGTTGCTCGAAAGATGGTTGGTGTGGAACAGGAGATGATCATTGCTCCTCAGAAAACTGCGTGGATACCTGTGACTTCAAACTTGAATGTGACGCAAACAATCCCTGTGAATCTGGATGCTGGTGCGTTGAAAAATTCCAAGTCTCCAATCTAGGTCGTGGCCCCGGCTAGTGTACTCATCGCATCCAGCTCAAATGCAGGATATTGTGGATTAGGTCCCGATTTCTGCGGTAAAGATGTCTGTGTTTCGGGATGTGACTCGAAAGCCGAATGCGATCCTGGCTTTGGTTCTGAGTGGGCAACTAAATCAAAGTGCCCTCTCAATGTCTGTTGCTCTGATTTTGTACGTGACATCAATAATTGAGTTACAGCTTCTGGAACAATGCTAAACAATACCAATTGACAGGGATTTTGTGGCACGACCAAAGACTTTGTAAGTTTTCCCGGCCTACCTCCAACGAGAATCATCTCAGCTAATGTCGAACATAGTGTGGAAATAGCACTGTCAAGCATCCAAGCTGTGACAAGAACAAGGCGACTCTAGACCGCGTGGTCGGGTACTACGAAGCCTGGGCCAGCCGTCGACCATGCAATGCTTTCTGGCCAGAGCAAATCCCCTTGGGCGTCTATACGCATATCAATTTTGCATTTGCTGCCATCGATCCAGAGACCTTTGAAGTCAGGCCCGACCAGACTGAGGATCTTGACCTTCTCATGCGAGTCACGCAGTTGAAAACCCTCGATCCTGACCTTAAGGTCATGATTGCTCTCGGTGGTTGGACATTTAATGATCCAGGACCAACCCAATCGACGTTCTCTGATATCGCAAGGTCAAGGACAAACCAAGACAAGTTCTTCCGGTCTCTTAACTCATTTTTGTCCACCCACAACTTGGATGGAGTGGACCTTGACTGGGAATACCCATCTGCTGATGATCGCAATGGCCGTGCCGAAGACTATAAAAATTTCCCGGATTTCATTGCGAACTTGAAAAGTGCACTCGCCGAATCAGGCGGCCGAGATGAGATTTCCATCACACTACCTTCATCTTATTGGTATCTTCAGCACTTCGATGTTGCTAAGCTTGAACCCTATGTGAGCTTTTTCAACGTGATGTCGTATGATCTTCACGGGAAATGGGACTTGGGCAATGAATGGACAGGTGCCTACTTAGACGCCCATACGAATGTCACCGAAATTGACAAGTCACTTGAGCTGCTCTGGCGCAACAATATTGACTCATCGAAGGTCGTGCTTGGTCTCGCCTTCTATGCACGAGCCTACACATTGTCAGACCCTAACTGCGTCAAACCAGGCTGCGAGTTCGCATCGGGTGCCAACAAAGGAAAATGCAGTCGAGAAGTCGGAATCTTGTTGAATAGCGAGATTGATGAAATTGTTGCTGAGAAAAGCCTGACGCCTACCTTTTACAAGGGTGCAGACGTTCAAGTCCTTAACTGGGATGATCAGTGGCTCTCATATGACGACGAAAAGACACTCAGACTTAAGACCGAGTACGCTTGCGGCTCTTGCTTAGGCGGCGTCATGGTTTGGGCCATCAGCCACGACACAAAGGAGGGAAAGTACTCGATGGCTCTGGGGGGGAATGTCCAATCGCACTTCCAGCAAAGTCTCAGGCCTTTTCAAACGAAAGTCCGTCGCTTCTGACTCTGATGATGACACCTACATCACCAAGAAAGATAACCATGCTCAATGTAACTGGACGAAATGCGGCGAGTATTGTCCCGCCGGATGGAAGATGATGACTCGTGACGATGAATGGAGGCACAGCAAAGGGGAAATCATGCTTGATGACACTGCTTGCACTTCACCGCATGCCCGTCGACTCTGCTGTCCTCCTAGCGAGATAGCCCCAAGCTGTGGCTGGTATTCCTTCAAAGGTGGTGCTTGCTATGGTGAGTGTCCATCAGGCTATTCTGAAGTGGGATCCAACAAGCGAGGCTGTCGAAGTGGCTACCAAGCCGCCTGTTGCACCACAGAAGACTCCAATAAAAAGCTTCTGAATTCCACCAGGCTGTTTGAGGCATGCGAGTGGGCTGAATCTCCCTATTGCCAGGAGGGCAAATGTTCATTCGCCGGATCAGCATGGCCAACCGAGTTCACGAATTCAACAACCGGCAGTGGCGCGGCTATTTGCAACATCGATCCGGGCAGAACAAAACGCGACAAGAACCATTATTGGAATTACAAGGCTGGACTCCGCAAATATTGCTGTGACACATCCAACGATGATGCGACCTGGGGTACTTGCACGTGGAGAGCTGACATCGAGAACATTGGCACAAAGGGGAAGAGATGTATGCCGAATTGCAAAGCCAATGAGATCAAGGTCGCCATGGAGGGAGGCGAGGAATGCTTTGGTAAAGGTGGCGGCGCCAGGAGCTATTGCTGCACTGGAGTCTATACATCAAGCCACAAGGTTCTGAACCCTGATCTAGCCGGCTATGATGCTGATCTTTCTGGCTGGGTCAATAATCCAGTCTGCGAGAAGAGCTCAGGTCTTGATCTTTATGCCAGATCAGACCAAATCCCTATTGGCAAAACCTCTCATTACCTGGCCACATTACATGTTTTGGCCATGATTCTTCGTGGCTCTCTTTCTGGAACAGATTCCACTACAGTCTCCGGACTGAAGAAGCTTTGGGATAAGTACATCCCCAACCACGATGATTGGGAGAACCTCACCACAGACCAAATCTTGTCTTGGTTCGGTTCCGACACAAATCCGACGGCAGCGCAAACTAGCCCTGAACTATGGGCCCAACGCATTTTGTGTAACCCCGCCGCCTACAGTGCGATGTTCGACAAGAAGAAAAAGAGCCATCCAATTTGTGATCATTTCAACATTCAACCCAAAGACTACTATCCGGCAGATGGATCTTCTGGAAGTGTGGACGATGGTACACTCACTAAGCGGCTGGCAGAGGTATGTTTACTCGGTCTCAATCATGCTTTCCTTACCAAATTGTGTCTAACTGGCTGATTTTAGCGTCGGGCCCTTTTCGAACTTGAAGCTCGAGGGCCGGCAAAGACAAGGTCATTCGCGTGCGAGACTGGAACGAAAAAGAGACTCATCAAGTATCAGAGCCAGCCATATCCCAGTGTTGGTGACTGGCCCAACGACGCGGATCAAGTCGAAACTGCCAGGGACTTGGAAGACTATGATCACTGCCATACATCGGCAATGGGGACTTATAATCTTGGAGGAGATCGCCTCAACTACGCAAGTATGTTCACCAGAAACCCCCGGTTACTTTCCGAATATAATACAAGTCAGGTGGCAGCTAACCTGAGCTTGTGCACAGCCGAACACATTTTTGAAATCGAATCAGTCGGGATGTTTTGGCAGTGGGCGGCCCAGAATGCCAACTTCGCAAATATTGACTGCAACTTTGTCGCTGAGTTCTTTAACAAAAAGGTCCTCGATAACCCCACAGACCTGCCTGGACTCGATGCTTCTCACCAAGCCATTCCTATGCAACGAGTAATGGAGCAACTCGGAAGCGAAGAGAGAACCCATAACTTTGTTATCTTGCATAAATCCATCAACCTCAATAAAGCGCAGGTCAGTTGAACAGATACGTTGGTGCTTTTTATTACTCTCAAGCTAATACTTCTTTCAGTTGTGGAGCCATGGCAGACCCAGAAACGATGATTCCTGGGCTGATTACGTGAGGGACGACCTGCCAAAAGCCATCGAGTTGATCCGCGATGTGAGTCTTTGCCCTTTTCATTCTCATTTGCTGACAATAATTAACTTACATATTGGAACAGAGTGTTGCTGTCTATAATTACATGAAAACCCCCGACATTTGGGAGAAGTTCAAGGCAATCAACGTGGACGTGCGAGCGGAAATGGAACTTGCCCAGACTCAATACAAGAAAACCCACGGTAAAGACGTCGCTTTGGTGGAATGTTATGATGCTTGGGTTGAACATCAGTTGAGTTCCTTCGTTAGCGATGGTAAGACATGGGTCGATGGTGCGATTGAGAAGGTCGAGACAGATTGGAAGCCAACGGAAAGTCAGGAGGACGATCCGCTGGGTCATGAGAACTTCCGGGCATTGCAAGAGATATTGGATATCTTGAAGCAAGACGCGACAGAAATCGATTTGAGCAACTTTAAGCTTGAGGACTCTGACGATTCCGATGACTCGATGGATGACGCCGACGGCGGTGGCGACGGCTCGATAGATACCTCGGATGGTTGATAATGCTGAGAAACACCGAAAGTCTTGGAATTGGGAAATGGAATATTTGAACTATGACTTAAAGCAGAAGTGGGCTGTCAGAAATTCCCACAAGTATATAGAAATGATCTAGCGAACCCGCATTGCGAATCCAACCACAACAGTCTAAGCTCTCTTCAGACGGTACATTGTAATCGAATGATGTGCAGTGAGACTTGATGTTCCCGGCTGCTTGTAGAATGGCATCGCTTTTTTTTGTTATTGAGCTGTAATGATTCTTGGCCACAGAATAAAAAGGCAACTTGGTGTGAATACAATTTCATTGACGCGGTTTCATATAGTGGGTATCCAACAATAACCTCCAATGTTTTTCATGCGGACTAACAGGGACAGAGTTGATCTCGAAGCCTGGATTTGGTGTTTCTTCAAATAATTGAGATCAGTGACGCTATTTGCTAACAGTTTGTCGATCAGACAGAATGGCACAAATGCTTCTAGTTACATTTTCGATTCCACCCTACTCGTGTAAATCTTATTATTCTCCTTTTAGCTAACATAGACCCGAGTCATTCGCAGGAGCACGTCAATCTGCGCGGAACAGTCTGTATATGCCTAAGTGATTACCTATCAATTCTATGAAGTACTAGCAAACGAATTTACAGAAGAGTAGTGAAGCTAAAGGTCTATCTAAAAGCTGTCTTTGCAAATAGAGATATTGGCTCGTACTTGTATCCTATAGATAATATCCAGACAAATGATAAGCGACAAACTCATGATAGGCTTGGTATAAGGCAAAGTACTAGTCTATCAAGGCTAAAATCAGTATAGAGGGATATTTTTTGGATGTTATTAAGATATCTGTCCTTGCTTCAACTGTTTATCACTTCCCTACTCACGTCCTTTTTTATTCTTAACCGGTTGTTCTTAACCATTTGTTCTGATATTTTTATTCACTAACAATTACTAGCTGTTTATTAACTATTTGTAGTCAACCGTTCAATTTTTAGTTTTAGTTATAAAGGTGTTATTAAGAACATCTCTGTCAGAAAATTTGCTTGAGCGTGATCTGGCCAAGTTAGTAGTAATCACAGCCTCACAAAGTAATACGCGATATTCAAGTTCGCTTTAAGTAGCTAAATATCTTGTACCTAGTTTATATAAATACTTACAAGCTTCCATTAGATATTGTTAACAATGCAACGTTAATAGATAATCTATTTTCGAATTTTACTATATAGAGCAGATAGTGTAGAGGCTTGTAGACACCAGAGTTAAATTAGTTTATCGATTACCCTACTTAGATGACTTAAATCTAATTAAAGGATTTTTCGTTAAGCTAAAAGCCTTTAAAAAACGTAATTAAATTTTTTATGAAGTAGATTGAAGAGACATATCGCATTAGGTTATAGATACTATACTAGATAAATCTTTCTCTAGAAGCATCCTGCTCGGCATCAATCTATACGGCTCTCTTATTGAGTATTCTCTTCGTGACAAAGACTTTTCCTCTTTTCTTCTCTTTCCAACTAGCAGCTAGAGGAGAGTGACGATCATCGACATAATTAAAATTGATCTTTAGTATGAGCTTTTTATCCCGGGAGAATAGACCTGACCACATTAGAAACTACTTCTCGATGACGGTCCAAATGATATCAATATTATCAAATCGTTTAGTTAAATTACGCTAGGTTCAGTCGTTCACTAAAACGACAATCGTAGTGTCATCAGCTTTCACCTAACAATAACAGGCAATTTTTCGTCGAAGAACTTTCTCTAATTTCTTCTCCAAAAACAGCTACCAAAAGACACTAAAAACCAAAACAAGATCTTCCTTCGTATCCTTTGACACCTCTCAATTATTGACTATAACACATCACTCTATACTATAGTATATACATGTCGGCAGATCCTTTTTATATACTCTTCCTTCTTCTCATTCAGATAACTATAGAAGCTTAAAAATATCTAACTGTGGCTAATCTTCCAATACAACAGAGGGAAAGAGACTATAATTAAGCCTTGTTGTATTAAGACTATCAAAATATCTAGATATTAAAACGTACTATACGTTGTTTTCCCATATTATAAGATCTTCGAGCTAGGAGATAAAATCGTCATAATATAGGCTTTATGTTATTTCTATAGTACGATAGCAGACCTAGAAGGTCTATATTAGCTTCCTTAAATATCGAATTTCCTAAAGACTTAGTAATAAATAAGAATTATAGTAGATAGTAGAAGCTAGAGCTAGAGAAGCAAGTTATATACCAGGATAAGTTCTTTATAGCGCCACTATAGCCTTCTTTTAGAAAAGAGTATGGGGGAAGGCTACGCGTGATAAAATGTATAGGAGATAAAAGAATGATAGAAGATCTTACCAGATTATTAAGATTCTCTTATTGTTTGATCTATTTATATAATAAATTCTATCGGTTTCTATAAGAAATTATGATACTATAATAATGACTCATTGTTGTTACCAATAAATTCAATATAGCCCTACAAGGATTATCAGGAGAAAAAGCTAAAATTAGATTAGCGTGTCCTTATCTAAGGTCTAGGAATTAAATTACAAGAGTTAAAAGTTAAAACTGATTTCGAATTCTACTGTATACACTGATCTTGTATACCAAGATCCTATACGCTTAGGTATCTTAAGATTCTACTAAACGGATCCATCCTGTACGATCTAGATCCTGCGTGGTTAATATTATCTTCAATATATATTACTTGTGGTTATAAGCTAAGCGAGAGCTAACCGTATACTAATAATAGACCCACATATAAAAAAGCTCGAGCCCTCTCTTATAGACACTAAAGAAAACCCCACCAGCTTCTAAGTCGAGGACTTCTAGCCTCACGTACCGATCAAACCACTTCCTAAATCTTATAAAAGAATACAAAGCAATAGGGTTTTCACACCATTAGAAAGCAAAGACCAGATTACCACTAGAGAAATATAAAAGCTTGTTAACAATCTAAAGTTAATTATCTACTATCAAATTATACTTATCGAATCCACTAAAACTAAGATCGAAAAAATCAAACATAACTAGAATATCCTTTATAACTATAATAAGAAGTTTTACAAAGAAATCAAAACTATATGAACTTAAATTAAAATACTCCTATTAGTATCTTTATTTAGAATATAGACAACAGTTATAACTAGCAATAATATTACCCCTCTCTAATAAACCAAATCATAGTCTAATAAGGATCTAAACTATATTTATATTAGCATCTAACAATTATTTATAGATCCAGTAGATAATAATAATAGCGATAAAAATATCTTTAACTAATATCTTTTTATAGATTCCACTAATAATCATATCCACACTATATTAATAAACATTCTAACAATTTAAAACGCCTAGATCACTAAGATTAGCATAGCTAAAACAAGCTATATGATTTAATTTAAAGATACCAAGTCAGCCAAGCTAGCCTATAATAATATTAAATAGTTAAACAAACTAGAAAACAATATAAAATTAATAGAACCATGATTTAGTATCGTTATATATCATATCCTAACAAAGTATTTCAATTTAAAGAGTGTAAACATCTGGGTAATTAAGAAAATTATAAACGAAAATAGCCTCACAAGATAAAGCTTCTAAATTAAAAAGATAACTTAGCTTAACAGAAAAGACAAAATATTAGAAAAATTTATATCACTTAGTATCTAGTTTAATTTAGTGAAAGAAACTAAATATATTCTTAATAATAGTCTTTTAATAGGTTAAAGATATATTAATAATATAAAATATCACAAGTTTAAAAAAAGAGATATTTCTAATACTAAAGTTTTAGATATCTAGCATGATTATATAAGAAAACATCATAATATGGATATTATATAAGCTAATATAAATATGTAACGGGGTTCTCCTCCATACTTCCCCGTGACAATGGATGCCTGATATCTCAGGCAATGAGAATTCATGCCTCAAGGGTTCGGAGCATGGATCGGGAAGACTACCGAAAAGGGTCCAAACGTCATACAAATCGATGACGAGTCGACGCAGACCCCCTACAGCTTACAGGACCTAATGGCTCCCTCAATGGATTGGGTATTTAAAAAGAGAGAGAGACGAGGCTCCTCTCTGATTCTGATCAAGAATCAGTCTTGTATTCGATAGAGACAATACTATTGAATCCCCTCCTACTTACTATTGATTCGTAACCGTATCGACGTCTATTCTTATCCTTCCTTTTACCGGGTTGACAGGCATTACACCTGACAACGTATAACCCTTACAAAATAGTAATGATACCTTCTAAATATTAAAACAAGGTACCTCAATTACAATAAAGAACATATAATAGGAGACTAATAGTATATAACCTTTATATCTTTTAAACCCTATTAACCCTATCAATATTAGAAATAAATCTATAAATACTATAATTAAATATTATAAAATTAGAACTAAGAATAGAAACCCTTATTAATAATTACTAAAGCTAAAACCTAGATATATTTCTAATCTAAAAACTATATATTTGTCAAGGTATAGAGTTAGATAGAGGTTAATTAGGAGATAATATAGACAGAATGGGAATAGAATAGGAATAAAATAGAGATAGAATAAGAATAGATAGTGTACGATAAAGACTAGGATATAGCTTAAAGAGCTATATAAAGATTAGATAGCAAGACAGTTATATATAGAAAGCAGTGATTATATGATTATCTAGAGATATTAGTAATATATCTGAGCTCTAGTATTTAGATATTAAGATAGAAACTAGTAGACTATAGTATAGGCTTATATTATAATAGTATCTCTCTTTTTAGGGTTGAACTCTATTAAGATTATTAAGAGGATATATTTTAAAGGATGTGATAAAATAATAGTAATAGGATAGAGATAATATCTAAGCTCTAGCGCTTGGAGGTTAAAATAGATAAAGGTTATCTAAGTTCTAGTGTTTAAATAGTACAAATCAAGTCTCGGCCATACCACTCACATGCGGTTTTTCCTGCTCCCAAGTCCGCCAGAGGACCAAAT